GTTTACTGCAAAAGTGTCCATTTCACTAGCTTCAAACACTCACGTGTTCACTCCAAGTTCTATGAGGTGGCTTCTTTCACAGAGTCTAAAGCCCGGAAACACCTTCGAGACGCCGGTTAGTTCACTCACATGCTTTTCGATACAGGTTTTGTTTTTGACCAGACGAGAGTGTAACTTTTCTGATGTCTGTTTCAGGGGCTGAATTTGTGCACCATAACTCACGGCAGCTGAGCAGAGTTTATCCCAGTGGCTTTCGAACAGACTCTTCCAATTTTAATCCTCAGGAAATGTGGAATGCTGGTTGCCAAATTGGTGATGCAACAATAAGACAGATTTAAGTCTATATCAAGCATTTTTCAACGCTGCTCTCAGATCATTTACATTAATGTTCATCACTCACTTCTCACTGTGATATGTTTTGCTTGATGATATAATTTCACTCTTAATTTGGAATGATTAAGAGTTTTATTTTCAAGGTAGTCCAGGTAAAAAAGAAAAATACAGAAATACCAGGTTTGCTGGCAGGAATCCCCTAAATCAGGATCTTTTCTGAAGCAAAACTAAAGCAGAGAGTCAGTATTGTCCTTGATTTTAACACTATGTTTAGCAGCAGCCACCATCTGAGTTCTGTGTGTACATTTACAAAGATGCACTTTTTTATAATGACGTACTGATGACGTGTTTGAGGGTTAGAAACAGGGTTGGTCAGTAGCTAAACACAGTCTAAAGTATTGTTTGTGGGTCAATGGTCATCAAGTTTCCATAGTAGAAACTCAGCTTTGCAAAATGAACCCTTTATTTATCTTTATTATTATTGTGATTTCTTTGACACCAACAAATAATTGTATTGAGTTATTATTATTATTATTATTATTATTATTATTATTATTATTATTATTATTTACACAAGAATTGTGATTTTCTGAGTTCTAACAAATATGCTTGGATATAATAATTATTTTTTTCACATTTTTGTTCAGTTTTTTCATAATTAATATAATTATATTATATTAACATAATTAAATTTATCACTAAGCCTGTTGACAAACAAAAAGTGACATTTAGGCGTCCCAGAAAGAAACTGATACAAATGTAAGGAGACTTTCGTAAAACACTTTTTATTCGTTTAAATTCAAATGTCAGAGAGAGATGAAAGGAAAATTAAAATTACTTTAAGATGAAACAAATATTTTTCCTTCAAATAAAACATAAATAATATCTGTCCACATAATGTCACCACTTATTATACTGACTGATCCTGGCTGAAGCTAAAATCTGTGCAGCTTTAATAATAAAACAACAAAATGCCAAGTGGCCCAGCACATCATGCACTTAATCAGAACTGAACAGACCCAAACCTTTCCCCAAAATCCCCACAAAAAATGATTTTTCTCCTCTTCCACTCAGTTGCTTTAAACTTCCAGACAGCAGGGGAGGGGATGGATGTGAACGATGGACTTTTTAGTCAGAACGGCTGCTGTGGCTATGTGTTGAAGCCCAGCTTCATGAGAGAGGCGGACACAAGGTTTGACCCTGAGATGCCTCAAACACGGGATCACTACCATCCTGTTGTCCTCACCATACAGGTGAAAGAGA